ACTCTTTAAAGAAAAAAAAAAAAGCAGATAGAGCAACTAGCGTAACAAAACAGAAAACCTAATCTACAACAAAATGAAGAGACAATGTTTCCTCCAAAACCTTTTTTAGTGATATTCAGCTATGACACCCACATGGTATCAGTCTTTGTGCACAAAGAAGCAAAAGTAAGGCAAATAGCCTTCTCTAATGGCCCAGAGAACAGGGGAACCCCAACAATGGCATGCTAGTCTGAGAATAGTGGTCTAACATGGAAAGGACACTAAGGATCAAATTCTTAGGCTGAGGGCAAGAACACTGCTATATAGGGGTTTATAGGTGTTGAAGCAATCTGGGCCATTTAAATTCTCAAAACTAACACTGCTATGAGAAAAACTGCTAGGATTAGGATCCAAATTGAGCAGAAGAGGGCAATAACAGCAAAGACAAGAAAAAGTCCAGATAAAAGAGAAGGGAGCAGAAAGGAAAGATCTCAGAAAGCACAAGGATGAATATTTATTTGTTTGTTTATTTACTTATTTATTTTAATCCTCACCCAAGGATATTCTTTTCATTGCTTTTTAGAGAGAGTAGAAGGAAAGGAAGGGGTGGCGGGGAGAGAGAGAGACACATCAATTGGTTGCCTCCTGCATGAGTCCCAACTGGGACTGGAGATCAAACCTGCAACCCAGTACATGCCCTTGACCGATAATAGAACCTGAGACCTTTCTGTGAGTAGACCAATACTCTATCTGCTGAGCCACAGGCCAGGGCTTATTTATTTTATCCCTGATCTGGAATCAAACCTTCCATCTTTCGGTGCATGGGATGATGCTCCAACTGAGCCACACCAGCCAGGCTGGGGGAATGAATTTTTAAAAATCATTTGGTGAAAACAATAGAAGAGAGAGCTCTAGAGTTATGAAGCTGAAAACAGGCTATCTTGGCCTAAAATTACAGGAAATACAGGCCTTAAAAAGTGAGCAACAGAAAAGAATCATTGTTCTGTGAAGTAGCATGAAGCTATTCTATAGCATAAAGAAAATTATAGAAGCTATGAAAGAACATAAAACTCAGAAATTAGGTGAACAGAGAAAGGTGATATAACTAAGAATTAAAAATTAAAAAAATTATTTTAGGATAAGGAAAAAAACCAATGACTAACACATTAAGAGAAAAATGAGATAAAAAGGAAGATGAGTTAAAAAAAATCCAAACTAAGTATAAAGAGCAGGGAGGGAAGACAAAACAAGCCAACTTTTCAAGACTGGCTCTTTATGCCAGAAAACAATGGAGTAAAATATTTAATAAATTCAAGGAAAGAAAATGTGAGGCATGGATCTCATCTCCATTCAAATTAACTTTAAAGTATAAAGATTGCAAACAAACTGATATGCATATTCAAATCACTCAGGGAATATGGTACCCATGAACATTTCCTCTGAATTCACTCAATTCTGAAAGAACGGTCAGCAAACTTTTTCTAAGTAAATATTTTAGTCTTTGCAGGTCATTTAGTCTGTCACAACTATTCAACTTTTGACACTATAATGTTGTTGTTTTTAAAAATCATTTATTTATGCATTTATTTATGTATTCATTGGTTGATTCTTACATGTGCTCTGTTTGGGGCAACACTGGTGTATTGGGAGAATGCTCTAACCAACTAAGCTACCTGGTCAGGGACTGCCATTGTAGGGTTGCTAAAAGCAGCCATAAGAGACGGAGAGGCCAGTGCACTTTGGAATGGGGGCTTGGAACCACCTGTGCAGAGTGACAGAAATATGGGACATACCACCGGTTGTAGATTTGAGTTTTCTTCCCTGTTTTTTTCCCCCCTCCCTTTTCCATCTTCTCTCTGCCTCCCCAGAAAGAAAAAAAAAAATCCCCTGGTTGTCTTAAAAAAAAAAAAGGAAAAAAATGGTTTTAAATGGAATACCAGAGATTGTCAGACCCCCTGTAACTATAGAGCTAGCTGCCTGTTGTTAGGTGTTGCTGAGGGTTGGCGTGGTTTCTCAGGATGGCAGGAGGCTGGAGTGGAGGCCTGAGATAATGTATGGAAAAGAGCCATTGGTGATCATTCCTCATGCCACTGCCACATCAGAGCTGGTTGGAAAAACCTTTGCTGCTGAGGAGGCTGGAAGCATCTTCCCTGAGAGCCATACCCCAGGTGCTCTCTCCCTCCTGCAAGGGACTGGGCAAGTTCCACCTCACAGACAAATGGAATTGACATATGGAAGGAGGGAGGGGCACAGTAAATGGATTATAGTAAAAGGGCCTCTACTTTGGGAAGGAAGGTATGTTCTTCTGAGGCAAGTGAGAAGGGAGAAGCTGGGGATGGGTGGCCAGCATGTTCTCTCCCAGGGGATCCTATTTATAATTTGCTCCAGATTGTCTAAGGCTCCCTTCACTGTCATGGGTTTGCCTCTCCATCAGGCTGTGTAGTGCTTCCCAGGCCTCCCACCTTCAGGCATGAAAGTGCAGACTGGTCAGAGTCCTATTGCTGTGGCCAAGGCCAAAGCCTGCTCTGAGCCACGGCACCTGAAAGCCCCTTCTGGGGCCTGGTCCCCCAGATAATCTCTTGTCCTTGGCTAGCACAGGGAAATCCAGACTCAGGGTTCCAAAAATTCCCCATTCCCAAAACAAACAAACAAATCCCTTAAGAGATAGAATCAGCCTCTTAGAGTGCAAGATTCTGGAAAGGGGACATGTCCCATATAATCAGCCTTCCTTCTTCTTCCTTTGGGGCAGCAGTCCTCCTGCCCTGCTCCTGTGCTGCTGGGCAACAGTGAGGGCCCACCTGGTGACTCTGCAGTCCTTAGAGAAGTGACATAGCTGTAGGCAATTCAAGGGCACTTTCCCTCAGTAAGCTTTGATGTGGTCCCAAAACAGCCTTAAATCAAGAATATCTGTGGTGGAGGTGGATCTGGGGGAGGAGTGGATAGTTTAGGTTTGTGCTTTGTAATCTTGGTTGGCATCCATGTTTTGTGCCTGCCTTCCCTCTTAGGTGTAGGGCCATGCTTGGCTCTGTTAAAAGCTGCTAAATAGATTGTGGTGAGTGGTGGAGATGAGACCAGGGAACTCTTCTAACCCTTTCTGGAAGCAGTTCTCTGGTCAAAGGCAAGTTCTGTCTCAGGAAGATGGCTCCTATCTGTGCCTGGGTGTGGTGAAGATGTGGCCCAGAAGCTTTCTATGGAGCAACCAGTCTAGGCAAAGCAAGAGCATCTGAACACATGTCCGAATTCCCAACATGTAGTCCTCTGCACTTTGTGTGGTTTTCCCATGCAGATAGGGAGAAGTCAGTCTAAATAAAGACTGTGCATTTCTTAGTGACAGGTGCCAAGAGGTTATGATCTGGGTTTCTTGGGTCTGATGTACACTGGGAATAAATGCTTGTAGCTCTTAGCCCTTTTTTGATCAATGAAGCACTTGTTTAATAAATATTTTCCTTTGTATGTAAAGGAGGACTGTAACTCTCCATAGCTGTACTTATAACACTTTTTTTCCTAAAGAGGAGTCAGTCAGTGTGCTATATTTTCAGATTTTTGTCAAAGCAAGAAGTAAATACCTTAGAAATGCCAAAATGGCAGCGGAGTAAGTGGAAGCTGCACTGACACTCTCCCAGGACCAAACTGAAAATACAACTAAAATACAGAAAAACCACCTTGAAAAACCAACTGAAGACTAGCTGGAAAGAACCCTGATAACCAAGGATGAAAAGTGGAGACCACATAGAGACTGGTAGGAAGTGCTGAAGGCATGAAAAGGCTGGCCGGGCTCGCACAGAGAACTCTGGGATCTAAATTCCAATCTGGGCTCCCCTGCCCAGAGCACCAGAACTGAGAACAGTGCCCACATAACATCTGGCTGTGAAAAGCAGCAGGGTTACTGTCTACCTGGGAGATAGCTGGAAATGCAGGCACCGTCTTAAAGGGCCAACACAAAATTTTGTGTGCTGTCACTCATAATGGCAGTGAGTTAATGCCATTATACACATAGAAAAGAACTAGTTCAGTAATTTAAAAACAGGGATTTTCACATCCTTACTATATATAGTCTGTGTGTCAAAACAAATAAACAAAAACAACCCCTGAAAAATAAAACATAAAAGGTTTTCAGTAACTGTATCATTTATAGTAATTTTTAGTAATGTACACTGTTGTCCTAGAACCATGGGTAAATCAAATAAGTAATTATGTCAGTATTCCCAAAACCAAGATTTTCAGTGCAGTTAAAAGAGATCAATAAAATTGATGAGATTAAGCAAAAATCTTTAGCCTTGAATTTAAAATATCAACACAAACTCATAATTTTATCTGAAAGATTATATATATTTCCTAGCTCTGTCATTAAAAAGGCCTAGAATCAACGAACAATCCAGTAGCAAGTAGTTCATAATGCCCAGATTTTAACCTCTACCATTTCCCAAGGAAATTAGAACTTTTAAAAATGATCAACTACAGGTGTGGAATAAAAAAAAAAAAAGGCACAAAAAAATCCCTGAAAAATAAAACATAAAATGTTTTCAGTAATCATATCATTTGTATTAATTTGTAGTAATACAGACTGCTGTCCTAGAACCTGGAATAACTTGTCAATCAGGAAGAAAAGGAGATTATTAAGCCTCTAGATATGTCAAAAGGATATGGGAACTCAACACATTATACACCTTAAATTTATACCATGTTACATGTCAAGAATCTACACTAATAAGAGAGAAAGATGCAAATTGACCATACCTTTGCGACACCCACTAGCCAATCAGGAGTGAGTATGCAAATCAACCGAACAAAGATGGCAGGTTAACTTGCATAGGCAGGCGCCGAGCGGCCAGGGGGTGGGGCAGGACACTTGCGTCATCGCCATGGTGACGACGCAGGCATTCCGAACTGTCCCAGCCGCTCCGGGCCTCTGGGCAGTGTGGGAAGGCGGAAAGGCGGCTCCAGGCCGGAACGAAGGCAGAAAGGCGGATCCGGGTCTCTGGGCAGCGTGGGAAGGCGGAAAGGTGGCTCTGGGCCTGAACAAAGGCAGAAAGGTGGCTCTGGCCGGAGCGAAGGCGGTGCCAGCATCCAGGGGAAGGAAGGCCCATTCTTGCACGAATCTTCGTGCACCGGGCCTCTAATATCTTAATAAAGCTGGGGGAGGCGGTGGAGGGAGAAGGACACAGGAGCCATCATGAGGTAGCCTCTAGTGACCAAAGAAGGGATAATTTGAGAATACTGAGAGTAATAATAAAAATGGGTCAAAATACAACAAATATGTTCACATCCATGATTTCATATAATATTATAAAGAAAAAATCAGTTACTTTTAAAGAATATGAATAACTAAAACTCATTATTTTTGAAAAGTGGTAAGGGAAAGGAATCAAGCACTTGTCCTGCCTTTATTATAAACTAGAGCCCCAGTGCATGAAATTTGTGCACGGGGGTGGGCTCCCCTCAGCCCAGCCTGCACCCTCCAATCCGGGACCCCTCAGGGGATGTCGGACTGTCGGTTTAGGCCCGATCCCCGGCAGTCAAACATCCCTCTCACAATCCAGGACTGCTGGCTCCTAACTGCTCACCTGCCTGCCTGCCTGATCACCCCTAACTGCCCCGCCTGCCAGCCTGATCACCCCTAACTGCCTCTGCCTGCCAAATTGATTGCCCCTAACTGCCCCCCCTGCCGGCCTGGTCGCCCCCAACTGCCCCCCTCTGCCAGCCTGGTTGCCCCTAACTTCCTCCCCCCGCTAGCCTGGTCACCCCTTACTGCCCCCTTTGCTGGCCAAGTTGCCCCCAACTGCCCTCCTCTAACAGCCTGGTCGCCCCTTACTGCCCCCCTCTGCTGGCCTGGTTGCTCCCAACTGCCCCCCTGCTGGCCTGGTTGCCTCCAACTGACCCCCCCACCGGCCTGGTTGCCCCATGCAGCCTGCTGTTCAGTCGTTTGGTCATCCCTCACTAACCCCCCTGCCGGCCTTGTCGCCCCAGGCAGCCTGCTGGTTGTTACTGTTACTGTGATGGCATCCTGGACAATTTGCAGATTCCTGTATTATTAATATAGATCAGTACCTTGAAGTGACCAAATGGTTGATAAAGGGAATTTTCTCTTTACAGAAATATTCCAGATAATAAACTGAGGACTGATAAAGGCACAATATTATAATATTGCAACCTCCAATAAATAAACTGATCTAAGCAATAATAATTAATTTTGAAAACATCACAAAGAGACATGATATACCCTCTGATGGAAGTACACAGCCCAAAACAAACAACTTCTACATCTAACTACCAATTTATCATAAGTACAAGAAATAGAGGAACATAGGAAATGATACCAGGGGGATGCAATCACGAATATTCAGGCTATGGAAAGTTCTACAGGAAAAAAACATGGTTCCTTCAACAACAACAAAATGACAAGAAAACAAAGAGTTAGAGAGGAAACCTACAGTTTAAAAGATACTTAAGAGATATAATCAATCACAATGTGTGGGCCTTATATGAATTGAAATTCAAACAGACAAAACGAAAAAAAAACAAAACAAAAAATTGTATAAGACAATCAAGGAGGAAAGAGAAGAGAACCTAACCATGCTGATCAACTGAAAAAAAAAAAAAGACAATCAAGGAAAGTATGGGCACTGAATCTGATAATACAGATGAAATGACACGTCTAGGGCATACCTAAAAATACCCAGGATTGCCATTTCATACTTCTTTCTTTGAGTACAAGATTTAAAAATGTAATTGAAGCTGTTTTGCAAAAACACACAATTCTATAACATTATGTGTATGTGTGTGTGAACGTGCACAAACACACGCACGCATGCACACATGCACTCACACCAACTTGCTAGATTTGCTGAAATGTTAATGGGCAGACCTATACAAATTTAAGTTTTAGAAAATACTTTGTCTTTAAAAAGCAACCGCTATCATTGAACACAATGTCAAACTATTTTTTAAAATCTCACTAAAAATGTATACCTTTTTCATAATGCTCTTTAAAAAAGGTTCCTTAGCCCTGGCTGGTTCGTTCAGTGGTTAGAGCATTGGCCCATGGACTGAAAAGTTGCGGGTTGGATTCTGGTCAAAGGCACCTACCTCAGTTGTAGGCTGGATGCCCGGCCCTGGTCAGGGTGCATGAAGGAGGCTGCCAATAGATGTGTCTCTCTCAAATCAATGTTCCTCTCTCTCCCCCCATCCCTTCCACTTCTCTCTAAAAATCAATGGAAAAAATACCCACAGGGGAGGATTAACAAAAAAATAAAATAAAAAAAGGTTTCTTAAAACCAAGATAGCTTGATAAAATTTGCCAAATGATAAAAATGTAATAAATAATTCTAAAGATACCAAGCTTTGGACTTAACTACAATTTTACACCAAAGGACATAATTATTTTCAAGTATGCACTGAGCTTTAGTTTTTCATAGGTCATACACTGAGAACTCATGGATAACATCTGATTTGTAGATGAGTTATTTGGCTTATATGTTTTTTTTTTAGAAAAAATTTGACCCAATTTTTAAAATTCAGAAGATTTCACATAAAATCCAAATTTGATAGTTGTACATGCAGCAATGGGCTAGAGCACAGTAGCAGCTTCCTCTTTCAGGAAGGGTATGGCACTCTCCTTTCAACAGTCCCGATCCTACTTCCTTTCTCTGCATATATTATAGGCTAGTCTCCTTAGACATTTGAATTTGTTACCACCAGTTATAACCTAACATTGTTCTGAGGGAGGTCTTCTCATTCTTAATAAAGTAGAACACAAAAAAGAGGCTACTAGTATCTATAAGAGCCAATATCATTTAATTTAATACTTAAAAAATGCAAAAAAAGCATTTATTGTTATTATAGCATAGAAATAAATGCTACCTGCATACTGTTAAATGCTTTTTTTGACAGAGCAGTAAGGCTTACCTTCAGATCAAGGCTGCTAAGGCTTACGACATCATCATCTTTTGCTCTTCGTTTTCTTTTCTGTAAGACAAAGAAAATCTCATTCTTATATAAAAGGAATGCATGTTATCCCATTAAACAAAGACTCCATACAACTAGAAAAGTTACTTTAAAAAGTGAAGCCTTTGGCAGTATTCAGAAGAATATTTTTATGAGGCATGTTCATAAATTATCTCTACCATATATACTGTTTAAATAGTACTCCCGGATTAAATGATCTCATGTGAAGTGATTCCACTCTATTAAAAAACTTATGTAAAATTTTTGAGAATAGTGCTCTTGTGTAAGTCAAGGGCTGTTTGTACTAGTTAGTGAAAAAGTAAGTATATTTTATACATAAAGGCAATTAAGTTTCTTTAAAAAAATGAACACATTTATTCTATGGGAGAAAGGAAGTCTTCACTAGAAAAAAATAGGCTTATTTCATGGCCCCACGTAATCACCCACTTTGAGGAGAAACTGGTGTGAGTGGAATCACAATTGAGCAAGACAGGGAAAAAGGGAAATAGGGAAAAAGAAAAAGTCCAGACAGAAGTGGGGAAAATATGTGGAGCCTGAAAGTCTCAGAAGCAAGCCATCATGAAAACAAGAGGGAGCTCCATGAAGTTAGAAAAACTATCTGAACCAAGCCTCTTTGTTAAAAGTTCAGGGAAGCTATTCACATTAAAATGAACAGAAAATCCTCCAAGTCAAATCCTATACAAAATATCTCTAAGAAGACAGAGAATAAGGGACAGAGTAACAATCTCACAAGGAATGAAGGAACCTTAGAAGAATATGTTCAAAGAAGCAGAGAAAAACTATAATGTACTACTTCAAATTTAGCTAAAGACATGAAGAAAATGACAGAAGAAGACATGAAAGAACAATATAAATCAAAATTAGAAAAACTGCAAAATGAGGTGACAGAATTTAAGAAATCTTAATTAATCCTAAGGTCATATCCAGAAGATGCAGGAAAGTACGAAAATATGATCCTAACTTTGAAAAGCAAACTAAGCAAAAATCCCGCATATGTGTATCTTATTTGTGAGGCTGTTATTTGTAAATAAGTATATGAAAAAAATATTGAGGGATACATAACGGTGTTGTTGACATGGGTTAGAGTGGAAGTTGGGGGATAGAAAGATGAATACAGAGAGGAAAATGGGGGCACAAACTATTGCAAAAGGATTGTACGGAGGGGGAAAAAAGCACATATTAGTACATAACCATACTTATGTACTTATATGAAACTAGAGGCCCAGTGCATGAAATTCATGCACTTGGGGGGTGGGAGTGGAAGAAGCCTTCAAGTGGGGGAAGCCTTCAGTCCGGATTGCGAGGGTGCAGGCCAGGGTGAGGGACCCCACCGGTGTATGATTGGGGCCAGGGACATGGGAGGTTGGCCAGCCGGGGAGGGACCGTGGGAGGGCTTCAGGGCATGTCCACCCTGTCTCACTCAGTCCGAATCGGCTGGACCCTAGCAGCAAACAAACATACCGATTGGAGTGTCTGCCCCCTGGTGGTCAGTGCATCTCATAGAGACTGGTCGACCAGTCAACTGTCTGCCCCCTGGTGGTCAGTGCACATCATAGCAAGTGGTTGAGCGGCCTTAGCATATCATTAGCATATTACACTTTGATTGGTTGACCGGACAACTGGACAACCAGATACTTAGCATATTCGGCTTTTATTATATAGGATTGTACACGTACGTAGGAATGTATACATATCAATATGTCTATATATCTATCTATCTATCTATCTATATATATATATCTATATATATATATATCCTAGAGGCCCGGGGCACAAAAATTTGTGCACTGGGGGGGGGGGGGGTCTCCCAGCCCGGCCTGTGCCCTCTCACAGTCTGGGACCCCTCGGGAGATAACGACCTGCTGGCTTAGGCCTGCTCCCAGGTGGCAGAGGGCAGGCCCAATCCCTAGGTGCAGCCCCTGGTCAGGCTCAGAGCAGGGCCGATTGGGGAGTTGGGGCGCCACCCCCTGTCATGCAAAGAGCAGGGCCGATCAGGGGGTTGGGGCGCTGCCCCCCTGTCACTCACAGAGCAGGGCCCATCAGGGGGTTGAGGAGCTCCCCCCTGTCACTCACAGAGTAGGGCCGATAGGGGAGCTGGGGCACCACCCCCTGTCACACACAGAGCAGGGCGGATCAAGGGGTTGGGGCGCTGCACCCTGTCACACTCAGGGCAGGGCCAATGGGGAGGTTATGGCTCTACCCTGTCACACACAGAGCAAGGCCCGTGGAAGGGGGTTGGGGCGCCACCCTCTATCACCCACAGAGCAGGGCCGATCAGGGGGTTGGGGCACCGCCACTGTCACACTCAGGGCAGGACCGATGGAGAGGTTATGGTTCTACCCTGTCACACACAGAGCAGGGTCGATCAGGGGGTTGGTGCGCTGCACCCTGTCACACACAGAGCCGCAGGGCAATCGGGGGATTGGGGAGCTCCCCCCCTATCAGGCACAGAGCAGGGCTGATCAGGGGGTTTGGGCGCTGCCCCCTGTCACGCTGATCCCGGTGCCGGGAGGCATATTACCCTTTTACTATATAGGATAGAGGCCTGGTGCACGGGTAGGGGCCGGCTGGTTTGCCCTGAAGGGTGTCCTGGATCAGGGTGGGGGTCCCCACTGGGGTGCCTGGCCAGTCTGGGTGAGGGGCTGAGGGCTGTTTTCCTGCTGGCAGTTGACTAAAAGCTCCCAACCGCTCCTTGTTTTCTTTTTTTTTTTTTTTTATTCTGGGCCAGCTTTAGCTCTGAGGCCTCACCGCTGAAAACATGGATACAATGTTGCGATCCGGGGCTGACTGACAGCCGGTTTTGTTTAGCTTCTTATTTGCAACATAGTAATAGTTGCTTAGAGTTGCAGTTGAGAGTCCGGCAAGTGAGGAGGGGAACGTTGGAGTCTGCAGTCCCCGGAGCAAGCAAATCTCCCTGCTCCCTTCAGTGCCTGGCTGCCGGCCGCCATCTTGGCTGACAGTTAATTTGCATAAGGATACGCTGATTAGCCAATGGGAAGGGTAGCGGTCGTACGCCAATTACCATGTTTCTCTTTTATTAGTGTAGATATATATATATGTATATATGTATATATCCAGTCATGACAGGATCAGGAGGAGGTTGTGCGAGGAGGTTGTGCGCGTAGATGGGTGGGAGGTGACTGCTTGTGCTGTGAGGCGAGTGGGAGCAGAGAGACAGGGGGGTATGCCCAAGCCGCCACCGCCAAGAGACAGCGCCCCAGCAGGCCCGGAAGCAGGAGTGGAGAGGAAGGGGGGCCTGCCCAGGCTGCCGCCACTGCCCGCTGGCCCCAGCAGGCCTGGGAGCAGGAGCCAAGAGACAGGGGGGCGTGCCCAGGCCACCGCTGCCAGGAGACAGTGCCCCAGCAGGCCTGCCTCTGTGCGTGAGCTGCAGAGGAAACACCTTTTCTTACAGCTCATTGGCTAAGTTTCTGGCACACCACTTGCAGTGTTCTTGATAACTTCGGTAATAAGAATCCAAGAAGGTGATTTAGAGTTTTTCTACCTCACTCCTGGAGGAAAAAACGAAGGTTTGCTGTTGGAGGGGCTAAGAAATGTCATATCCTGCCCTAGCCAGTTTGGCTCAGTGGATAGAGCCTCGGCCTGTGGACCGCAGGGTCTGGTTTCGATTCTGATCAAGGACATGTACCTAGATTGCATGCTCTTCCCTGGCCAGGGCCCAGGTCAGGGCTCATGCAGGAGGCAACCAATCGAAGTGTCCCTCTCACATTGATGTTTCTCTCTGTCTTTCCCTCTCTCTTCCACACTCTCTAAAAATCAATGGAAAAATACTGTCAGGTGAGGATAAAAAAAAAGAAATGTCATATCCTATGAAAGAGACATCTTGAAAATGCCTAGAAAAAGTTGTCATTTTTTTGTGGTGAAGGGACTGGAGTCTGTGTTGATGAAAACACCTTGGCGGCTGGCAGTGCAGCAGCAGCGGGGTGATGGGGGTGGCGCCTTCCCCTGATCAGCCCGCAGAGGGATGCCAGACTGCGGTTTAGGCCCGCTCAGTAGGACATCCCCTGAGGGCTCCCGGACTGTGAGAGGGGGCAGGCTGGGCTGAGGGACGCCCCAATGCATGAATTTCGTGCACCGGGCCTCTAGTATCTATATATAAAGAAATTTAACAGATTTTAAAACATCCTACTATATTTTCTTTTCATTATTTTAAAGGTAAGATAATGTTTTCATATTTATATATTCAATCCATCTAGAATTTTACTTTTGTATGTGGTACAAGGTAATAACTAACATGTCAGTCCACTCCTGATACTATTTATTGATAGCACCATTTCTACATAATGCTTACGATATAGTAAGTTCTCAAATATACATAGGTCAGTTTCTGGGTTCTCTGTTTTGTTCCATCGGTTTATTTATCCATACCTGCACCCATATTATGCTGTGTAATTATAGTACCTTGGTAGTAATGCTTAATAACTAATACAGTAATTCATATGCTCCTCAACTTGTACACTACATTCACTGTTCTGGGTTTTCTATTTTTCCATGTGAACTGAGAATGACATCTATTATACTCTAATGGGATTTCTATCAGAACTACACTCTGAATTTATTAATTTGGAGAAGAATTGACATTTTTAAAAATATATATTTTATTGATTTTTTACAGAGAGGAAGGGAGAAGGATAGAGAGTTAGAAAGATCAATGAGAAACATCAATCAGCTGCCTCCTGCACACCCCCTACTGGGGATGTGCCCACAACCCAGGTACATGCCCTTGACCGGAATCGAACCTGGGACCCTTCAGACCGTAGGCTGATGCTCTATCCACTGAGCCAAACCGGTTAGGGCAAGAACTGACATTTTTATGCTATTGAGTATTTCCTTGTCTGAATGTGATATATCACCATGTAACTAAGTGTCCTATGTTCTTTACTAATGCTTTCCAATCTATATATATAAAAGGCTAATATGCAAAGTGTCCCTTTGGGAGTTCGACCGAGAGTTCAATCGCTTGCTATGATGTGCGATGACCA